GGGAAGCCTGGAGGGTCTCTGGGGGACAAGATGTCCTAGGAGCTGTCTGTGGCTTGATGCAAGTGCCCCAGGCTCTTTGGAGAGGGCCAGTGGGCGAGCAGACACAGGGCCCACCAGCATGGCAATGCCTGGGCAGGGGGAACCCTGACCATCTCTCCATCTGAGCTGAGACTAGTGGAGGCTATGTCACCATCTTCCCACCAGAACTAACGTTGGGCTGAGTTGGTTCCGGCTACCGCCCACTGTCCTGGCCCCACCAGTCCTCCCGGCTGCGGGACACTCCGGTCCAGATACCCAGGAAAGGCCCAGAGCTGACCCCAAACCCTACGCTCCCAGGAGCCCCTCCTAGGGGCCGAGGCCATCAGTCACGCAAAATCAGTTAGCATGCATTCCTCTCTGTAGGACTGTGGAACGTCGTCAGCAAGTCTGGGGCCTAAGGACTCCAGTCCAGCACAGCCTCATTTTGAGAGCCCAAGCCATGGCAGTGGGCCCCACTGAGGGGCGGGAGGAATCTTCCTGATCCAGACTCAGTGGCTTGAGGTGGGGGGTAGGGGGGACCAGGAAGTCCCCTTCTCAGGAGATGGCAGCTAGGCCTTCAGTGAAGCAGCAGCATAGGGTAAGAGCTGGGGGGGGGCGGGGGGGGGCGGGAGCCCGGGGGGAGGCGCTTCACACCTGGTACCTGCCCAGGTGAGCCCTTCCAAAGATGGGGCAACGAGATGTTTTGAACCTTGGAATGCAAACTGCATCCTTGTCTTCTCCAGAGATTGAAGGGTAGGGCAGGGCTGATGGCAGGCAAAAGCCCCCTCAAAGGCCCGACCAGAACCCTCCCCAAGTACGCCACCGGCATGGGGGTGTCTTGTGGTAGAACACACTTACATCAGGGGCTTTGTCAGGGACCTGGGCTCCCCTAAGCCTCCCCAGCTCTGGCAGGGGGAGAGGGGGTTGAACTTCCAGGGAGCAAGGGGTACAATCCCCTGGGGGAATTTGCTCAAATGACACAGGCCATGAGCCCCAGCTCTGCAGGCCTCTCCCCCCCCCGCGTGTCCTGGAGTCCCAGGGGCCGTCTCAGCCTGCAGCCTCCTCTCAGTCTCTTGCTTGGGTCCAAGTACTGTGTCTGAGTTGTGTCTACCCAACAGGCTGGTCCCAGTCAGGCCTCTCACAAGGGCTGGTCTCAGAGGCCCCTCCCATGCTAGCCCCTGCCCAGCCCTTGCTGCCTGGAGTCCAGGCACCAGATTTGCAGGGGCTGGGGGGTTGTGTAATTCAAAGGTCCAATTCTTGTGAAATCTAGCACTGAGGTTCTGAACATTTTTGAGGCAGGGATGGGATCCCCTCTGAGGGTGACTGAAAATGGGGGGGGGTCCTTAAAAAGAGGTCACTCCCACAGAGGTCAGAAGGCTACCCACTTCCCGAGGGCTGAGACACCCCAGGCCCTGATCCTGCCCAGCATGGAGGACACTTGGGGGTGATGGGGGAAGGCACGGTGGGGACCCCAGGCCCAGGTCTGAGGTCACCTGGTCTGCACTTACTAGGACTCCCCACGTTCACCTACAACAAAGGTACCTTTTTGCTATGGCCTGGGACAGCCTCTGGCTCAGAGAGCAAAGGTAGTAGCTACAGCAACACAACACATCTACACGCATCTTGTTAACTCGTCCCACCCCAAGGAGGCCAGTCACCACCCTTCCACGGGCACAGTGACCTTTCCCTGATCACAGCTGTCCTGTGAAGTGAACTGAGCTGAACCCGCTTCCATGCAGGCCTGTGTGTGGGGTGGCCCTCTAGTTCTAGGTACTGTCAAAGCCAAGAAAATAAACACGCACTCATTGAGCCAGTTCTGACTTGTAGCGACCCTGTAGGACAGGGTCAACCTGCCCCTGTGAGTTTCCAAGACTCTAACTATGGGCGCAGAAAGCCTCATCTTTCTGGGTACTGTCGTTGGCCTGGAAGAACAAGCTAGTTTGTTCCTGCCTGAAAGTCTCTGAGGCCATCAGACAGCATGACTGAGGTGACACTCGGTGTCTCCCTAACATGTTCTAGACAGGGGACTTACTGCCACCAAGAAAGAAAAGCTGGAAGCACAGCAGATCCTTTGGACCCAGGGTCCCTGTGCTGAGAAGCTCTTAGACCCAGGGGACGGTTGATGCCAAGACACAGGGAGCTCTCTGTGGATGCCGGGCCCACAGATGTTAAAAGGAGACCGGGACCTTTCTCCAGAACTCACAGAGACAGATAGCCTTCGCCCAGAGCTCGCAACCTGAATTCAGTCTTCTCTCCTCCTACACTCTGAGCCTGGAGGCACAGTGGGTTACGCGTTAGACTGAGAACCACAAGGTCGGCAGTTCGAAACCACCAGTGGCTTCATGGGAGAAAGGTGAACCTTGGACACCTCCAGGGGCAGTCCGACTGTGTCCTGAGTCTGAATCGACTCAATGACAATTAAAGACTCTAAGGCAGCCCTGAGCTGCCTTCCCTGTCGCTCTGCTGCCACAGCCAAGAAGGTTGAGCTGTGCAGTGTCGGCGGGTACAAGATATACCCGGACACGGGCGGCACTACACCTGGACCGAAGGGAAGGCTTTCCAAATTATTAACGCAAAAGGTCCTTTACCAGAGGACCCTCAGAAGAGAAACTGGACAGAAGGAAAAACAAAAAGGGCAATCGGCAGAGATGCGAAAGGAAAGCACCCGCCTGGGAGAGAAAGAGGAGGCTGTGTGCTCCTATGAAGATCCTGCAGGGGATCCCCATGAGGTGGAATTGACTCGATGGCAGCTGGCTGGGTTTGGGGGTGTTTTTAGGGTCAAATGGCGCCCTGCTTGTGCAGTGGTTAGAGCACCCAGCTCACCAGCCGCTCGGTGGGAGGAAGATGTGGAGTCCGCTTCTGTAAAGCTGCCAGCCTACGAGAATGCTCCCCTCTGTCCTTACCGACTGTGCGGGTGGGCACGGCTCGGCCGCCGTGGGAGCTGGGGGAGAGGCTCCTGGGCTGGGAAGGGGCCGACTCCTGGAGGGCTGCGGGCACAGGCTGACTCAGGAGGCCTGGGCTTGCAGCCAAGGGGACAGCCAGGAGCCGGCTGGCCAGGTCCAGGTGGAGGCATGGCCTCAGCAAAGCCAGCTGAGGCTTGAGCAGGAGGCACAGGCAGAGGGTGTGTGTGTTGTACATGGGTATGCGCATGTATGTGTGCACATGTTCGTGCCTTGTGTTCTGTGTGCATGCATGTGGTATGTATGCATACTTCATGCTGTATGTGTGCTATGTAAGAGCATGTATGTGTGATTGGAGATATAGGGGTATGTGCATATGTGTTTGTGTCGTGCAACATGCATGTGTGGTGTGCACGTGTGGTATGTGTATATATGTGGTATGCATGTGCAAATGTACATGTATGAGTGTATGGTGTGTGGTGCACACATGTGTATGATACATGTATATGAGTGAATGTGTGCTATGTTGTGCATGTGGAGGGGGGCATATGTTTGGTGTTTGTATGCACGTGCACCTGTGTGGTGCATATGTAACGTGTGTGTGCGTGTATGTGAGCGTGTGGCGCGCGTGTATGTGTGTTTGTGTGGTGAGCATGCATGTGCATGCTGTGGGGGTATGCAGGTTCCTGAGTGCCCAGTCCTCAGGTCCGTGTGGAGAGCTGCTTCACACCCTTGTGAATGAGCACTCGACTTGTGCGAGAAGGTGGGGCCCAGGGGTTACCTCGCTCACGTTCCCTGGTGGGGACAAGTCTGGCCAGAATCGTGCAGCAGATGGACAGCAGAGGGAGCTGAAGGCACCGCCAAGGGATGCAGCCCTGGATGTACTGCAGGCTCCGCTGAGACCCTGCTCAGGGCGACCGACGCCTGTGGCTTCTTTCTGTCTGGTCTCTACCCCACCCTCACCTCAGGACAGCGCAGGGGCTGAGGTCTGGAGGCCTGGCACAGTGCCCTGTCCTTTCTAGCCTGCCCTGGGCTCCAGGCGGATGGGTAACACCCTAGGTGAGCAGGGGCAGAGGGAGGCATGGGGCCCAGTCAGGAGGAGCCAGCTGACTACCGGCACTGGGACGCACCTTCCCAAAACGGGGGCCACAGACCTCTCTTGGTGTACCCCAGCTTCTCCCAATCAATGCTAGCCCATCTATGGAGCTGACACCATGGGGAGATATCGGGGCCCGGGGGTCTGCTCTGCCACTGGCTGGGAAGACAGTGTGCAGAGAGCTCTGGTGAGGATGCTATGAGTGTCACGTGCAGGGCGGGAGGAGCCAGGCCCCAGGACAGGATGACCACGAACCTGACCTGTGGAACACAAAGGTTTGTCCCCATCTTGTATACTCAGTCTAGGACCTGCTTGCTAGTGCATTGTGTGGTCAGCTGCTTAGAAGTTAGGGCATCAGCCGTCTCTAGACACTATGGTCTGCCCCGCCACAGGAGGGCCACACCCTGCTGATAGGGATGGTTTCCCTAAGGGAGAGCCCAGAGATAAGGACAAGCCAACTCAAGGAAGACCAAAGTTAGCCTGCCATCTTGAATCTAGGATCCGCCCATCTTGTCACATGTGCACCCCTAGCCCATCCCCTTCCTGTCACCCATATGCCTTCCTGTTACGCATGTGGTTATCTGTAATCAGGGGGCTTACACGCCCCCTAAGTATGATAAGCCTCGTAGAAATATATTCTCTCTCGCTGCTCGTCCCCGGCTGCTGCGAGCATGGCCATCTCGGAGGGGGCATGCTACCATGAAATGTGTCTGACTCCTCTCTCCTGTCTATCTCCTATGACTTTACTACGACCTCTAGATATTACCGCCCTGTAGCTGCGCCTACGGACCCTGCGGCCATTAGAGGCTGGTTTCCTCTGACACTGACCACAGCTCAGCCCCAGCCCAGAGATGGCAGACCGTGGGAGAGCAGCTGCCCACCTTCCTGGCAGGCCTGTTCCCCTCTCCCAACACCCACAGGGGCCGGAGAAACCCTGAAGAGGCACTCACCTTGACAGTGTCAAATGGGTGTCCCACAAGCACACCTGCCACACCTGAAGAAAGAGGGAATGGGTGAGCCTAAATGCCCCAGGCAGGTGCAGTGTGGGGTGCAGCGGGGTACTGAGCGGGACCATCCAGCAGGAGCTACAGGCAGGAGGGAGATTCTCCCAGCCCCTATTGCAGCCACATCCACCTGAGCACCTGGAACTATGTCCGGGACATCCCCAAGGTCAAGCTGGGACCCGGCAGACCCAGAGCTAGCCCTTCCCATGCAAGTGCACAATCTGGGCTGGGCTGAGCTGGACAGCAGGAGACCTCCTGAGGGGTACCCACTGCCCTAAACACCTCTTGGCGCCCCGCAGGAGGCTCGAGGGTTTTGAACCCTGGGGTCCGGTTGTCACCAAGACCTGGATTTGAATGTTGCCTCTGCCACTTAGCGGCCCCAGGCAGGCTCTTGGCTCAGCGTCTCCAGCCTCACCTCCAGTCACAGTGTGAGCTGCCACTCTGCCCCCACATGTACAGAGTCAAAAGGCCCGCAGTGCTTTCAAGGCTGGGAGCTTCCTGGGGGAAGCCAACCTCCAGACGCGTCTCCAGAGGGGCCTTCTGGCTAGTTGTTGAGGGCTTCCCATTGGCACCAACCAGCCTCTGGGGCACCCAGAATTAAGCACCTGGCCGCTAACCAAGAGGCCGGGGGCGGGGTGGGTGAGGTGGTGGGATGGGGTTGAATGCTCTGCCGAAGAGACCTAGCCACCTGCTCTGTCCCTGTGAGTCGGAATTGACCTGAGGCTACCCACCAGCACTGCCACCAACGGTGCTGAGTGGCACTGAGTGACCGCCGGCCACAGCCAGCACTGCGCCCGCCTCAAGTGGGCGTCACCCCCAAGCCCAGGAAGGCATCTCCTGACTTGCCTTCCTGGCAGGCTTGAGTGAGTGCTCTTTCCATTCCTGGCCCTGCCAAACACCCAGCCCGCAGGGACCAAGGTGTGGTGCATCTCAGGGCCCTGCCAGCACTTTGAAGTAACTCATTCAACAGACAAGGAAACAGGCCCAGCGAGGTGAAGCCACTGACAGCCCCCACACACACCTCCAGGGGGTGGGAGGCTCAACCCCCGGCTTCCTGGACTCTGGAACCTGTGTTTCCAAGTCCTTTGGGGCCAGCGTCACGGCAGAGTAACTCAGCAACAGAGCCGCTCCTGGCCTCCGGTGACCTTCCCGGCTTTACACAGGGACCAACGCTTCCTGCGGTACACCTGCCAGGTGAGCCTATTTCACAGATGGGGGAGCAGGCCCAGAGAGGGAGCTTGTCCTCAGCACATAGCTCATAGGTGGTGGAACTTGGACTGGAAGCCAGGCTGTCTGGTCCTGAACCCTCCGTCTTCCCCACACACCCCTCCCCCCTGCTCCCTGCTCCAGGTGGCTCCCAAATTCTTGAAAGCCCAAAGGTTGACGGGAATCACACCTCCTCACACACAGCACTCTCTCCCACCACAGCCAACACCTGGCCTCCAAATGTCCTTTGTTTGCTACTGACATGACCAGCGCTGGTCTCTGCAGTCACCTGTCCCGCTCAACTCTGAGTGTCAGCCTTTCCGAGGGCCTGCAGCTCTCTCTTAGACACAATCTATAGGGGGCCCTGGCGGCTTTCCACGCCCACCCCAAGATAACACCTCACCTCACCATACCTCCTCACTCACTTACCGTCATGGAGCCACCCTAAAGGACACGGTAGAACTGCCCCGGTGGTTTCATGGCTGTAACTCTTTGCGGGAGTAGACAGCCTCATCTTTCTCCGAAGATGCAGCTCATGGGTTTGAACTGCTGATCTTATGGTTAGCAGCTCAATGTGTAGCCCTGTGTGTCACCAGGGCTCCCTTTAGCCTAGATGCCCATTTGGCCTCTCTTTCTCCCTCTTTTAAGGAGCCCCAGCCAACAGCATGGTGGGTTTTGTGGGTTGCCAACCACAAGGTCAGCAGTTCGAACCCACGAGCCACTCTGAGGGAGAAAGAGGAGGCATTCTGTTCCCATGAAGCTTTACAGCCTCGGAAACTCTCAGGAGCACCTCTCCTGTCCTGTAGGGTGACCATGCGTCGGAATGGACTCGATGGGGGGAAGTTGGGTTTGCTTCTCTGTTTCTACTGGCAAAGGCAAGCAACCGAAGAGCTCCTTTCTGCTTGTTACCTGGGAGCTCGGCTAAGGGCTACTTCTCGTTTCTAGCACAGACCAGATCATGGCCCAGCTCCAGGGAGGGCCACGCAGGGAGGCCCACCCTCGCAGCACCTACTGGCCTCTGCCCAGAAGTTTCCAGGGCAGAGGCCAGACAGCAGGGCACTGCCAGCCTTCCAGCGGGAGGGCAGCAGCAATGCCCCATTGGGAGGCCAGGGTTTGGATCCAGGCTTTGACAGGCGTGGGGCCTGCATTCTGACCTTTGCAGGGGTGCTATCAAACACCTGCCTACCTCAAGGGCAGGTTTGGGCTAACACAGGCTCCTCCTCCCAGAGCCTCCTCAGGGCCTGAGGGACCAAGCCTCAGGGTTCCAAGCTTCCAGGTGGGGTTGCCCATCCTCAATGCCAGCACCGGCTGGGGGCAGGGCGGTGGGGTGGGGGGAGGGAGACAGTCGACCACTACCCTGTTGGCCAACTGAGGTAAAGGCAGCATGGCTGATCTGGTTCCATGGATTTTTTGGGGGGGTGGGGGGGGCATAAGGTGATGATTTCTTCCTGATCCCTGTCTACTCCCTGGGCTCCTGCACCAAACCAGACAAGGGGGGCTCCCAAGCTGTCCCCAGGGACAGGCTGGCCACCCTGTGCCCCTTGCCATGTTGTCACAGAGACCCTTGGAAACAGGCACTTCAAGTCCCAGCACACCTGTGCTCACCCCCCATGGTCAGTGGGTGGGGAGCCTGAGCACCCCCTCTGCCCCCCCCAACAGCATGTGCTCTCACCCCTGCTCTGGAGGGAGGCTGATGGGAAGGACGAACTAGGGTGGAGTGCGGGTGAGGGCTTTGGGAGTCTGAGGGACTGAGCCCAGGTCAGCAGGGCCCGTGTGGAAAGAAGCGGGTCTATCTTTTAGATGTGGTTCCTCCCACCCCCTGGGCAAGGTCGGGGAAGACCCATGTGACCCGTGAAGACCCCACACTCCCTCTACAGGCCACTCCTGGAAGTGGTGGAAGAGGCTCTGGGACCCAGCCGAGGGTGGCAGGCATGGGGTGAGAAGCAGGGGAGTGGGAGGAGCCTGGATTTGGCAAAAAGTCCCCGAGGCCGGCAGACAGCTCAGAGCTATGTGGCCCTCCCACAAGCACCAGCCCTTCAAGGTCCAATTGGATGACAGGTGGGGCACCGTGACCCCTCCGGCAAACGTCCGCTGTACCTTGGCCTACCTAAGGCCATCTCTAGTCACAGCTCCTCCTCCAGGCTCCTCCAGCTGGACAGACTGAATGACTTTATTAGAACAACCCATAAAGGTATAAAGGCACCTTGGTGTCATCGTGGTTATTCTACTGGGCTGTGGTCACCGAGGTCTGCAGTTCAAACCTGCCGGCCACTCCTCAGGAGAAAGATGGGCGTTCCCATCTTCAAGTGACAGTCTACCCTGTCCTATAGGGTCACTTGAGTTGGCATGGACTTGATAGCCGTGAGTTGCGTTAACAAAGGTGTAGAGACTGCCGGAGGCAATAGAGCTGGACAGGCCCTTGGCACAGGCATCCAGCGATGTTCTCACCTAGCCCCTCCACCCCCAAGGTGCGCGCGCGCGCGCGCACACACACACACACACACACACACACACACATACACACACACACACGCAGTCAGCCAGGTTTCTAATTAGTACACTCCTCTGCGGGGAATCTGGGGCGCCCCATTCAGGCCCTCCAAGGATTATGTTCCCAGCGCTGCAGCCGCGCCTCAGCAGACCTGCCATCGTGGCAATGGGCTTTGCCAGGCCAGCGCCGGACTCCCAGGGCAGCCCCCCAACAACTCCTGGCCCCGGAAGGGGGTCGTCCTGCGACTGCCTGGCCTGACATCAATGGGGAGGATGGGGCTAGCCCCAAACTTCTAGAGCCTCCCGAGCCTGATGCGGGGTGGGTGTGGGTGTGGGGCATCCTTCCTACCGCCCGAAATCCACCGAATCCGGCGCCCTGTTGCCAGCATGGCCAGAGCCAGGTGCCCCAGCCCTGCTGTAAGCCCACGCAGACCCATGGGTCGGGGTCCTGGTTCCCCAACTTTACAGACGGGGCATCCAGCCCACTTCCGCTGACCGAGAGCTCGCAGGTGAGCTGGCCACGCACCGCCACCTGGCCCGGCCCCCAACCCCGCGCC